AGACAGAATCCCAAAGAAAATTCCAGAAAATCACATCATATGAATTTATAAAAATTGATAACCATCTGATGAGGAAAAATACGCATTCTTTGTAAGTGGGCAAACTTACAAAGACACAGCAGTGTCTTTCTAATTGTGTATTTTAACAAATTAGAAACTTTCTCAAATCCCAAACGAGGCGTTTATGAATCTGTAGCCATAATTGAGATTTTAACTCATTGACTGGCAGCCATTTTCAGAACAGAGAGTCGCTCACTGCCAGAGTTTTTTGAGCATTTTGACTGATTTTTCTAGAGCCACAGAATAGTTTGTGCTATGACTGTGTAAACACTGAACACACCAAAAGAAAGAGTAGACTCTCTTCTTTCATCAGGAAAAAAAATGTGTTTCTACCTTATTCCGTTCTTCCTGGACTTGCGTCTCACCGGCGACATGTTCTCTCATAGAACCGTTAGCTTTTTCTTATTTGCCTACAGTCTATGCTCATCTCCCAAAAACACTCCCAAAAGTGGCACTGCCCCCTAGAGGGTCAATTTGTTACTACATACTCTGTCTAGAAGCCCATATTTACGGACAAGCTTTACCAGATCGTCCCCCAGCCATTCGCATTGAAAAACATAAAAGACGTCTATAGACGTCCATAAAATGTACCATTTTAATGAGCAATGCTGCAGATAAAGCATGTTTTGATTGTGTTTACCCCCTGTGACAGTTTAGATTTAGATATTTTATGCAGGTCCTGCGTACTGTGCTGCTCTTCTTGAGGGAGGGCCTAATGCTTATTTCCCGCTTTGGATTGGTTCAGCGGACTGATTCTGCTCTCGCCATTGGATACTTTCAAACTAACGAACAAATCAAAAAACCGAAATGCGTCTTGGATGTAACGAGTAACGAAACGCTGTATAGAAATGTAGTGAAGTAGAAAGTACAGATACTTACTGTTAAATGTAGTGGAGTAAAAGTAAAAAAGTATCCATTATCAAATCTACTTAAGTAAAGTACAGATACACGGAAATTGTACTTAAGTACAGTAACGAAGTATTTGTACTTCGTTACTTCCCACCACTGGTGGGTTTGGGTTCCTTTGGCCTGGAGTGACTCCAAACGTGTGGATCTCTGCCCCACGTGACCCTCAGAGAGCGTGACCTCTGACCCCTGACCCCCCCCCCCCCCCCCCCCCCCCGCCCCCCCGCCGCCGCCGGGGCGCCGGGGGGGGGGCCCGCGCGTGGGGGGGGCGGGGCCGGTGGACGTGGTCCAGAAGAAGCTGGTCTACGTGTTCCTGTGCTCCTACGCCTCCCTGAACCCGGAGCTCTCGCTGCTGGTCGTGAACTCGCTCAGGAAGGACTGCCAGGACCCGAACCCCATGGTCCGCAGCCTGGCCCTCCGGAACATGAGCAGCCTCAGGTGGGCAGCCGGGGCCAGAACCGGATCAGGGGCCGGAGCTAGAACCGGATCAGGATCTAGAGCCGGGGCCAGAACCGGATCAGGGGCCGGATCCAGAGCCGTGGCCTGATCTAGATCCGGATCTGGATCTAGAACTGGATCTACAGCCGGATCTAGATCCAGAGCCGGAGCAGGATCGAGAACCGGATCAGTAGTTGGATCCGGAGCCGGTTCCATAGCTAGAGCCTGATCCAGAGCTAGAACCGGATCTAGAACCGGATCCAGAGCCGTGGCCTGATCTAGAACCAGAGACGGAGCTGGAGCTGGATCCAGAACCAGATCTAGAGCCTGATCCAGAACCGGATCTAGAACCAGTATCCAGGTCCAGAGCCGGATCTAGAGCTGGATCTGGATCCAGAACCGGATCAGTAGTTGGATCCGGAGCCAGATCCGGATCCAGAGCCAGAGCCGGATCTAGAACCGGATCTGGATCCAGAACCGGATCAGTAGTTGGATCCGGAGCCAGATCCGGATCCAAAGCTAGATCCAGAGCCGGATATAGAACCGGATCCAGAGCCGGAGATCGGATCCAGAACCGGATCGGTAGTTGGATCCGGAGCCAGATCCAGAGCCAGAGCTATATCTAGAGCTGGATCTAGAACCGGATCTAGAGCCTGATCCAGAGTTGGATCTAGAGCTGGATCTAGAACCGGATCTAGAACCGGATCCAGTGCTGGATCCAGAGCTGGTTCCAGAACCGGATCTAGAGCCGAATCCAGAGCCGGATCTAGAACCGGATCTAGATTCAGAGCCAGATCCAGAGCCTGATCTAGAACCGGATCTAGAACCGGATCTAGAGCCGGATCTAGAAACGGATCTAGAGGCTGATCCAGAGCCGGATCTAGAGCCGGTTCCGGAGCCAGAACCTTATCTAGAACTGGATCCAGAGCCGGATCTGGTTCCAGAACCCTAACCCTAACCCTAACCCTAACCCTAGCCCTCCCTGTGCTAGGCTGCCCCCCCTGGTGGAGTACGTGCAGCAGCCCCTGGCGTCGGGGCTCCGGGACCGGGCCGCCTGTGTGCGGCGGGCGGCCGTGCTGGGCTGGGCCAAACTGCACCGCCTCCAGCCCGGAGCCGACATAGGTGGGTTCCCCTTATCCAGCCCTACAAAAACAACAACAATAATAACTAATTTATATTCAGTTAACTCATTGACTGGCAGCCATTTTCAGAACAGAGAGTCGCTCACTGCCAGAGTTATTTGAGCATTTTGACTGATTTTTCCAGAGCCACAGAATAGTTTGTGCTATGACTATGTAAACACCAAACACACCAAAAGAAAGAGTAGACTCTCTTCTTTCATCAGGAAAAAAGATTTTTGTTTCTACCTTATTCCGTTCTTCTTCGACGTGCGTCTCACCGGTGCCATTTCTCTCATAGCGAACTATTGCGTTTGTTTTTATTTGCTTACAATCTATGCTAATCTCCCATCAAAAGTGGCACAGCTACCTAGAGGGTAAATTTGTTAGTCCATACTCTGTATAGAAGCCGATATTTACGGGAAAACCTTCGCCGATCGTCCCCCAAGCCACTCACATTGAAAAACATAAAAGACGTCTATAGACGTCTTTGGCAGCGAATGAGTTAAGCAACATTAACTCAGGAGCACAATATATATAATATATATATATATTTCCTAGTCTTAGCTTTCGGGGGACTTTCTTTTGTCTCGTTATCTTTGTCTCCCTCCGCTTTTCTTTTCATCCCCGTTAAAAACTTTTCCATGTTGGGGGTTTATATGTTGAATAACGGACGATAGATAGAAGGCTAACCTGTTGTCTTTAAGTCGTAAAATGTTGCACTGAAGTAACGATGGAAGCGCCACTGCCCCCTACTGGAGTGGAGGCGCAATTACACTTTATACTAGTACGGCCCGGAAAAAAAAGGCTGTTCCCCAGGGTCACACACCCCCCCCCAGGTATCGCCCCACTATTTGAGAAGCACTGATTTAAAGAGACAGGCACTCCAAAGCGAGCGCTCTGAACGGGGCTGTTTTGGGTTAGGGTTAGGGTTAGGGTTAGGGTTAGG